AACTGCTGACAATTATGCTGAAGGTCAGTAATGACAGAATGTGATGAGAGCAAAGCAGGCTACCAGAGTAGAAGGGTATCTGTGGTAGCAAAGACAAAATATTTTTAGAAACATATGTGCCAACAGCTTTTTAGGATAAACAGCAGGGGAAGAGGTTACAGGGAGCCCCATTGACACAAGTTATTGGTAAGACAATGACTCACTTTTTTTGTTTTCTTTTTATATTTCCTTTTTTAAAAAATGACTAACTAGAAAGGTCTTGCATTTGTTGTGTAAAATAATGGTGCCAGGGTGTAGGAATTTTTCAGTCTGAAAAGGGCAGGTCTGTGACAACACTCCCTGGATACATAAAGACCACTTAACATCAGGACTCCAAGGCCTTCTGGTAAGGGACCCCATGTTCAGGGGACAGGTTTAATGATTCACTGAACTCCTTCAGAGTCATATTCACAGCTGAGAGTTATTACAGTGACAGACACAAAGCCATACCAGCAAAGAGAAAGGGGCTTGGGGTGAAGTCCAGAGAAGACAGTTCAGGTTTCCAAGAACTTCTGTAGAGTGGCTAGAAAGTGCTTAGTTCCTCCAGCAACAAGTTGCAACAACATGTATGAAGTGTTGTCTTCTGGGAGAGGGCTGATCACACAGGAATTCTCTGCCTAACACACACCCCAACTTCCAGACTTCCAGAAGAGAAACAGCTTGTACAAGTAGGCAAGGGGAGTGAGCCAGCCTTGCCATTTAGAGAAACCTTGTATGATTGTAGGGAACTATTCACCTATCAGGTTCCTAAATGTAAGTCAACGGCAGCCTTGCCAAGGCTAGCAGCCCCAGGCCTGCTATGTGAATGCTTTGCTGCACAGACCCAGGCCTCAACTCCTATTCTAGAAGACCCGAAATAACCGGGTCATTTCTGGTGATCCTAGAAGACCCTACTCAAAGCCCAGTGAAAGGAAAGGACATCAGAGGTTCCAAAGTGAAATGTACCAAGACAGATCCATCCAAAGCTGGTAACCTGGGCTTAAAAGTTCAATGGTCTAGGAAGAAAGGGCTAGTAATGACAGCCTGGAATCCAACTTCCCTAGCTGGTATGTTGCTCTACGGGGAGATAAATAAATAAATATATATATATATATATTTCTGTGAACTAAGGAAATGATAACTGTGGGGTCTGGAACTGAGAGAGGCCCACAGAGTATGGAGAGGGCCCCCTATCAACTAAAAGCATTGCTAGAATGGATGGGTACTATGGGGCTGTGCAGGTTCAGTACTTAACAGTGACACCCCATGGCCAAGAGGAAGAATAGCAGTTATGGACTGAAGAGCCTGCTCTCTTCACTTGGCATTGGGAAGCTGGATTCCAAACGCCAAGTGAATACTGTGGATTCAATTTAAGGGGGGAATACTAGTCAGATTTTGAATGATTGGGGAGGAAGA